TGACCTCCTGAGTGTATTTTAACACACCCGCATCACAAAATAACCAACTGAGTACCTCTCACTGTAGCCCTCTGTAAAATTTATGGAATCACTCAAATTTGCAGGAGAACATTGTGCCAGTTTCAGTCCAGACAGGAGCACACAGTGCATTCCCGCCCCTCTGAACTTTTTAATATTTTGTCACATTTTGTCACACTAAGAGCATTTGATTTATGGGAAGTTTTACAACCTAGACCAGCACAAAGTAAGACATGTAAGGGAAGTTGAATTACTATGATTAATGTTTTTTTATTTCTTTCTGTTGTTAGAATAAAAAAAAACTGTCAGGAGGTATATTGCACACCTACAGACTAAAATTTAACTGTTATTTTAGTCTGTCTGACTGCATGTAGAGCATCTTTGCAGAAATTCTCTTCTCACAGCTTTTTAAGTGGATTTAGGTTTCACGAATATGATGGTCCTAAGCTTTATGTTATGACTTTAGTTCATTATGCTTATGTACTCTGTGAGGGATAGGTTCTCTGCTTTGTCACTTTAAAGGTCATCTGTCAGCGCCGGTTTCTGCTGCTGTAAGATGTCGATAAAGAGAGGTCAGTATTCACAGCAGCCTATTGAGAAGATAGTCCTTACAGTAAATGAATAAACATTTTTACACTTCCTTAAGTTTAAAATGTCCTAACTTTGTGGGTCAAACCTTACACTGGCATGAGTGGCTTTCTAAACCTTAATAGTGCTTGGATAAGCTTATGTTTTCATTGTGTCTCAGTAATTATGCAGTTTGTTAATTGTTGATTTATTAAAGTTAGTTAGGGGAACTGGATTTTATTTAAAGGTCACTGATGTGAAGCTGAATGCAAGCCACCACTCTGAATTTAATTTAAAACATTTTGAAATCAATTTCCAATTTTTTCTTCTCAAATGCGTACTTCCTAAATCTGAATTGCTAAGAACTGTGAGGTTGTGAGCTCACAAAATTGGACAGCTTTAACAGCGTAAATACATAAAAAAAAAAAAAAAAAAAAAAAAAAAAAAAAAAAAAAAAACAGGATTAACAGATTTTTGTTCGATTTACAGGTCAAGCGATGTAGTGGGAAAACATGAAGCTTGCAGACAAACATTACTGCAGCAAGAAAACATTAATGTGCTTTTATGCTGCGAACAACAGTTACTCTAACGTTATAGAAAAAAATGAATAGAGAAGTGCTGACAAGAAGCTAAATGGCTCAACAATGGAAGAACCTACTGACCCACACAATGAAACACCTTTAAGCACTGTATCTCTGTTATATGCAATCTGAATTACATTTGGGTCACAATTACTAGATGTTTGCAGCTTATAAAAACGCTATGGGGGAAGTGAACATATCTGCACACTTATTTAGACTTCCTGTGTTTGCATCTGCTCACATTATTTTTCAAATACATTACTTGACATATGTTATTCAAGTCTCTGCAAAAATTATAATAAGATTAATCATGGATAAAACTAGGGATCAATCCCTCTTTTATCATGATGTATGCCTTCTAACTTGCTGTCTTCAGGCACCGTTACTGCAGAAGCACTGTGGACATTTCTGCACATTCTCTTCATGTAGGTCAAGGTAACTTATATGAGCATGCAGTGACTCATGCAGGTATTTTTGCACATGTAAATGGGGTCTTATACATAGAAAATAATGCTCTGTCTCACTATTTTCTGTTATAGGAAACAGTTAGTTGGATTTAAGATGGAGGAAGCAGCACCTCTGACGATTTAACAGTCTATAAATTAATTGCGACGTTTGACGGACTACTTATTTTGCAAAATCTTACCGTGTAGGGCAAAAAGCCCAGACTGTTTTTTTGCTCTGCATTAGAGTCAGCAGTTTTGAAGAGAAGTGAGTGCACCAATAAAAAAGACAGAGAGCCAGGTTTTTTTCCTCTTTGATCAGCTCTGGTGCTTTGCAAGCCCACTGAATACTGATACAGCTGACCATGGAACTTTCTATTTGCTGCTTTGACTGTCTTTACAGGACAAACTCCATCATATATTAGACTGAGAAAAAATAAATAAATAAATAAATCCCAACTCGCAGATTCAAAGTTTTTCCAAAACAGTTTCTTGGACAGAATAATTTTAAAAGAATAGAGAATGGACACCAGAACAACATAGGGCATTTTAGGAAAAGAGGTTATGAACACTGCATGGAGCTGGAAGTGTTGTGGTTTAAGGTTGCTTTTCTGCTGGAGCTTGCCAGCTCAACTTTAATTATTTAACCTTTGGCAACCATTCTGCTATGTTGAAGGCTGCTTTGTGCTGGATTTTCTTTTATACTTAAAGAATCATAGAGCTTAATTTTAAAAAAGAGACTCTGTTCTCTAACAAATCCAAATACTTTAGGCCCTGAATATTCATATATAAGTATAT